TGGCGGTAAGAGATTTGCGGACAATGAAGAAGTAATCGAAGCTGTAAATGGTTATTTTGAGGAGCTTGACGAATCAGTCTATAGAGATGGCATTAATAGACTGGAACACCGCTATGAGAAATGTATCAGCCTTGGAGGAGATTATGTTGAGAAATAAAAAAAAAAAATTTTTAAAAACCTTGTTTTTCTTGGTCAGGCCGGAAACTTATCAATCCACCCTCGTATTTGTAGCTGTTGACTTTAGGTATGTTTTAATGTAGTTACATTCTGTCTCTATGTCCCTGTCATAGCGCCTCCTAACGTGATGGTTGAATAAAGTATTCGCGACGGTTAAGTTATGTTTATCACAAAATTCTATCAGTCTATCTCCCCTATCATTTGTATTGCCTAATCCAAAAGAACCTGCTATTACCCTCACCTATTACTGCGTTGAAGTCTCCTACAACTATAAGGTTTTCCTACCCTTTCACTAAACTTAACACGTCTTCTATATCTGCATAAACCGCTTTTACGTCTTCATCACTTTTAAGATGATGTAAGCATGTAGACCTGCACTAATACCGTTTTTAGCGGCTTCGAGTTTAACCATAACTATCCTATCGCTTTTTTGTAAATAACTTTCTACACTCTACCCTACTTTCGCACGCATTATAATTCCTACCCCCGAATTACTTTCCACGATCCTGTAAGTCTCCACTCCTGCTTCGGGTCAACTGACCTCACTTATACCTACTAGGTATATCTAATTCTAATCTATCCATCTCTACTTTTAAATTTTCTAATTTCCCTACTTGCCTCATTGTTCTAACATTCCACGCTCCGACTCGTGAAACATTGCACCTACCCCTATTACACTTTATGATATCACCCGAGGTAGTCCCCGCCCGGACATCCGAATAGGGGACTAGTTTACGTCCGGAGTGCTTTACCCCAGAGGACGCCATCATTTAATTTTTGCGTACGTTGTACTTGAGATCATAATGTGGTGGTTTCCCGTTGCCTTCCACATCCCAGTATTGTGCATCAGAGCGCCATACCGATCCTCGTGATCTCTGCCACCCTGAGTACTGCAAGAGCTGCTGCCCTCTTTCAGGGACTTGTCTTAGTCTGGTTTCTCTTTAAGAAACCTCCCATTATGGTTGAATCTATAGCCCGGCTTCCAAAATAATCGAAACTCGCAAGCCGATCCACCCACTCTAGTTTGTACAAGAGTTTCGTCAAGATTCAAGTCCCATCGGATCGGATAAAAGACTAATTTTGCAAAAAAAAAAACAATCTTGCCCAAATAAAACTAGAACATCGATAGATTCTCCATTAGGCAGGCGAGATAGGTGATTGCTGGCTCCAGGGAAATATTCCAGCATGAAAGAAGAAAACTCTTGCAAAAGGAGTGCCTACCGAGTTTAATTGGCACGAGCTTCCAGCCATGTAAAAGTTCGGTTGTCAGTCCTTAAAATAAATCGCTTGTCTTTCAAATATGGCTGGTATTTTTTTTTGCCCAAACTAAGGTGACGCATCCTTGCTCGTTGCTACTATACGCTTGTTTTATAGAATTGAACCGGGTATTAACGTAGGAGATGACTCGTCTTCCTCCATCAGGGCCTTCCTAGTATAAAACGGTGGCGGGTCCATGTTTTCTGGCGTCTATTTACAGAACGAACGTCTTCACTAATTCCGGCCGATGCATCGGTTTCTGGATATTTTGGGAAGACTGCTGACATTCATTATTCCATTTTCATTTTCTTTTGGGACTGAGGAGGTCGATGAGGGGAGCCGAGACATCTGTTGAACGGGGCAAGTATTCTCGTAGCCAATTGCGTAACCCCAAAAATTTTTTTAATTCCCTTCTTGTGTCTGGGACGGATGTTTCGTTGTGGAAACACACACCGTATAGTATACAGTTCGTAGACAACAAACTGGGTCAATATATATAATAATACAATACAATAATATAATATATGAGCTCTCAAAGCATATAAAAATTATACGGCTTAAATGTGAAGTTGGGTGCAAAAGAATACAATTAAATCCTCTGTCGGGAAAAAATGAAATGACTTTCCGAACAACCCGATAGATATCCACCAGGGAGATATGGTAACTTAGTGGCTTTGGTTAGGTGCATCCCCGACCTTTAATGAGGCAGTTGGGGAGACGTGTTTCCCTCGGTTTGTCTCAAGTTTCCCGACTGCGAAGGAACATTTGGAGCGGACCACTTCTCCTGGAAATCGGACAATCCCGGTGGAAATGCCTTTCTGGACAATAATGACATCTTGGTGGAGTTACTGCCGGCAGTGTCTTGTTTATTCGGTTTATCCCGTGGGCGAGCTGACGAAGAGGCCGGAGTCTGAATGAAGTCCCGTTCGATCTCTGTAGCTCTCCTGAGCAACTCATCCAGGGCATTTGAATTAGGGGCTCTTAAAAGGATGCAGACTGAGGAACACAAGAGCTCGATAAGTAGCTGTATACACAACTCCTCAGTATTTTTAGGTTCGAGCCTATGCAGAATTTGCATTTTGTTTAGTAGAAATATTTCTGTGTGGTGGAATTGTCATAAGTCAATAAAAACCTCAAAGGTAGTGTAGAAATTTGCCTTGCAATTAATAAAATTACAATTAGCTGTCCATAGGGTATTAATTAACATAGATATTGATGTTCATGTAACGTTAACTTTATTTATCTTTAGTACTCTTAATACCCTGTTGAGGTGTACTTTAAATATTGCTGCAAATTATCAGCGATGAACAAAGCTGTTATTTAACTAATTTTTATCATAATGGGTGCCTAAAAATATTATTATGTGTAGTAGCGTAGTAGTTTGCAATCCCATCGCTATTGCTGCTTAGTTATTATCGCAACTCTGGCTTGAGATTGCAATTTGTTCTTTTTTTCTTACAATCTTTTTTGTCTCATAATCGTGCTTCTTTACTCACCGTGCGATTCCCTATTAGATCTAGTTAATTTGTACGGACAGATTGTTAATGTACTTGTCCAGTTTGAAAACCTGTCCGTAAAACTTCAAGTGTTCCACTTGTCCGTTGCCATTAATTTTTCCACTTGCCCGCTGAAGTTTCACTTCTACTATGTGTCCCAGCACATTTTTCGTTTATACAAGTTTACTGAATATTATGATTTGGTTTTTACACAGACCGCAAATAGAGGCAATGATGCCCAGCCACGTGCGGAGCAGAGGTAAAAAACGACAGCTGAGCACAGCACACGCCGCCGGAACTCTAGCGGACTCCCCGCTCTCCGGACGGCTGCGCATTATATCCATCTAATACAGCCGCTGCCCTCCCTTTGCCGCTGCCGCGTCTCGCAATTTGCCCCCTCCATGCGACCGTAACGCTTTTCGTGACAGAAAAAATCGTCTATATAGAAGTTTCACTTTAACAAGAAAATAAAGGAATTAAAGTTATGTTTGAATTTTGTACAACAGGGTAATTTTATTAGAGAATATAAATCCAATTCTTCCTTCAAAAAAATGTAAAATGGGTCAAAATACAATTTTGTTGCATTTTGGACGCGCAAAAAATTATAATTTACAAAAAACAAAACAAGACAAACCATTGTCAAGCACTTCTCAAGAAACGTCCGTTTTAATTCATATAGGTAGTAAATATAATACGTTATAGTAAAATATTACTTTCTATAGCTAGTATTTTAGTTTAGGTTGCGAATAATCACCTTGGAGAATGTTGAGTATTAGATACTTGGATTCGGGTTCGCAATCCAATTTTTTTACAAGCAACTTTATTGATCGTTTAAATTTATTTAAAGGGCCTAGCCGAGTAAGATGGTAAAAAAGAAGTGCCCTTAGCCCTTTCGGAAATCGATTGTAACCATGCTGTAGGTAATAATAAAAAAGGCCTTTTTGCCAAATTTTTAGACCTCTGGGTTGTCACTTTCGTTACACTTTGTAGGCGCTGTCCAACTCGTCGTATAAGAGTGGCCTTTTTTTTATTCATTCATTACATTTAAATAACGCAAAAATAGCTAGTTTGACAAGCAGTCTTGTATAAGACGAATCTTACGATCGATCGTGTACTCCAAGTATAATGGATTTTCAAGTATTGAAATTTTAATTGTTCTCGCTACTCAATTAAGTATAATGAAATTTCGATTAATTTTTAAATTACAGCTGAAGCTACTTCACCGACTACTACTCAGAGGACACTGGAGGAGTATGCTACAAGTTCCCTTATAGAAACAACCACTATTGGATTTTCGGATGAGATTAAATGTCTGAACAGTGAGTTTTCAACATGTCATCGGCATCCAACAGATTGCAAAAAATTCTATAATTGCGAAGATGGCCAAGCGTTTATTTATAGTTGTGGTGAAGAAATGTACTTCAATGAAGAGGGTTGTTATTGTGATAGCATATCGCATAAGTATTGTTAAATTATTTTACAGTAATTAATAAGCATTTTTTTAAGCCAAAGAATTATTATCAAAAAAACTGTAAGTTTGTTGGTTATCAACCGTAGTATTGTTCGTTTATTGTATAACTTTCCTATATTTATTTTAGTAAGATATTGGTAAACGGGTAGGTTGCCGCATTAGAGGTGAACGGAGATGTGCTTGGTTCTCCGGACTAGTATCCGAGACTAGCGAACCGGGATAGACCCATCTATCCCGTTATTGAGCAGTCGCCTGAGGTGTCGGACCGGAGGCAAAGTGCTGAAACTAATTAAGGTAGCCTACGTGTAGACCAAACGCCATTCACCCCTAAAACTAAGGGTATCCGCAACCGATCCCATTCCCAACATGTGGGTAAACGCACCGGTCCCTGCTATCTGGGGTCTCAAGCAAAATGGCGGGTCATTGGTAGATGTAGTTAATACTTAAGCTAATAATATATATAATATTTTTATACTGTTTATTCATACTTTGTAATGTGTCCCAATAAAATACGACAAATGAAACTCGAAATTTAGGTTTTCTTTATGGTAAAGCGCCATAAAAAGTTGAAATATTTAGTGTCACTCCGTAAATCTAAAGGCTTATTCATAATTAGAAGATACGTTAAATTGTCATTCCACTATCAGTTTTGAAAAAACGAATCTAAATTTTAAATTGGCTTATACATCGATACCATTTAAGCTAATTTCAAAACTAGTTTCTTGTTTACAAATAAAAATTGTATTAATGAAATTTGTGGTCACTGGACATTTTAAGACCTGCCGAAAGACTAAAGATTTTACTGATGGCATGTAACGTCTAATTAAACGTTAACCTAACGCATACCTAAATTGCACAATTCTGCCACTCATAATGAAAACGTAACAAATAGTTCCGCTGATGTTAGTGATTTGTTCATACAGTGCTTCACATTATAAATTTACAATAAGATATGAGGATAACTTAATAATAAGAAACTGCAGTTTTATTACAAAAAGGCATTTAATGAAATTGGAGCATACAGGGTGTTTCTGAAATAAGTGGCAAACTTTGAAGTTTATTAACTAGATGCAATAAGGAATCGAAGTTTACGTCTATCATAAAAACAAATTCAGAATTTGAGTGGATGCCGTTCCAGATATTCGAATTCAATTGACGTACATTGAACCTAATTTTAATGCTATAATTAGTAAAAATGTGCATTTTAAATACATACGTACAATAAAGTTTTAATGTACACAATAAAGTGTCAGTGATTTTATTGTTAGATATAAAATGTTTATCAGTTTCCTTTTTATCGAGATGGGGTTCCGCCAAAAAAGGGTGAGTTAGAAAGAATTCCGTAGAAAATAAAAATTGGGAATCGCTGCCATAGACCATTTCTAGTTATAAAGGCAGTCTTCTCCTTATCCTGCGGATGCACATTCACTTGCTAGTATCCACTTTTCAAATTTAGAGTGGAGAACCATTTAGCTCCAGCTAGACTGTTTAGTATATCATTGATCGGAGGTAATTGGTAGCTACTCTTCTGTGTTATATCTTTCAGTTACCATTAATCCACACAAAGTCTAGTGGAACAATCTTTCTTGCGTACCATCACTATAGAGGAAGCCCAGGACAACAAGAGATGGTTCTATCGCTCCTTGTTTATGCATGCCCTTTATAAGGTTATTGACTTCCTCTTGCTTCGCCCAAGCTGGTTGTTTGATAGGCGTTGCTGTTTCAGTGTTAATGCCGTGGTATGTTAAGTTGGTCCTACAAAAATCTTGATCTGAAAGGGCGAAGACGTATTAAAAATACTTAAAAATTTCTTCTGTTTGCTTGACTTGGTGCTTGTAGAGATGGTTACTTGACTGTTTCACCAGTTCTGTTACAATTACAAGAAATGTGTCGGATGTCGAACAATCTCGACTTAGGTGGCCAACTCTTCTTCTCTCAATTCCAGCATTTCGAATTACGTTTTTTCGTATCTCTAGCAGTGGCTTTCTACACACCCATTACGAATGAGCAACATAACACATTCTTTTATAATTGAACTACCAATCTACTTAAGAAGAACGACTGGGAGGACAATCTCGTCAAGCAACTTACACCTTCAGACAGTAAACCTCCACGTCTCTATGGTATTCCTAAGATCTATAAGACGACACACCTCTTTGTCCAATCGTCAATTTTATCGGAAGCCCGACATATAAACTAGCACAGTATCTGGAAAGTCTGATAAAACCTCTGGTAGGTAACACAGAACATTACGTACGGAACTCAGCACACTTCGTCAACGTAATAAGTAAGTACTATAAATACTGAACCCCACGAGGTGCCCGTAAGCTTCGATGTAGAATCACTTTTTACCAACATTCCGGTCTAGGACACACTTCATCTGTTGGAGAGCCACTTCACACCAGAAGTAGTTGCTTTATTTAGGCATTGCTTAACTTAAGTTACTTTCTTTGGAACGGACAATTCTACGAGCAGAAATATGGTGTAGTAATGGGGAATCCACTCAGTCCAGTCCTAGAGAATTTCTTTATGAAAAATTTCGAAACCAAGAAACCCAAGTTATGCCTTAGATACGTGGATGACACATTTATCATTTAGCAGCACGTAAAGGAACATCTACAACAATTCTTAGAACATCTCAACGGGCAAAACAACAACATCAACTTCACAATGGTAGAGGAGAAAGATTACACTCTACCTGTCTTGGTTATTCTGAATAAAAGAACACCGTCTGGAACTTTAAGTAGGGGTATCTACAGAAAAAAGACGCACACGGACTAATACCTACAGAATACTTCCAACCACCATCCCGCACAGAAGCGCGCCGCAATCAAAACGTTAATACATCGAGCTTTTACGTTAGCTGATAATAAATACCGCCAAGAACTTGAACATCTACGAACCGTAGTGTTAGCTAACGGTTACACTCAAAAGGACATCGAACGAGCAATAAAACCATGCCGGCAACCAAGAACGGTGAACAACAAGGAGGAGTCAACCATAATCACAACAACTTTGCCATATATCCACAATGTAACGGATCGGATTTCTAAGTTACTACGTAAAAATGGAATTAGGACGATTTTTACACTTACGACGAAGATACGCCAGTTACTACGAAAATCCAAAACCAACTAAACCCACTACATACACCAAAAGTCTACTTGATTCCTTGCGGAGATTATTCCAAGGTATACGTAGGCATAACGAAACGTACGATCGCAACAAGGAAAAAGGAACTCGAAAGACGTTTGCGGTTACACCAACCAGACAAATCCGCTTTAGCAAAACATTCCAGGCTATTACAATTTAGCTAGGAGAGAAGCCTTAAAAATTGTACAATATACAGATAATCTTAACAAGAAATATGGTTTAAAGATAAACAGAGCCTGGAAACTACTGCTAAGAAACAAACAAACGAGGGTGCAACATACCGGAACGAAACATGACGATAATGCAGTACCAGCCAACCGTGACATCATACAATGTGAAGCACTGAAGATGCCATATATTAAACATGGCAAAACGTCTGCAATTAGAATTCGACCACAGCAGAAAAGTCCAAAAGCTCTTCATTATCAATGGATAGGGACAACGTTATTATGGACATAATGAATTGGTTACCTACCTTGTATGATATACCTAATACCGATTTGACTTTAGTGCATCCAGCGAAAGGAGAGCGAGGTGTTAAGATGGTGGCAAATTATGAAAAGGCATCGTTTAAAAGAAGCGCGAGTACAAAAACCGTCACAAATAGGTGTTAGCGGACGTGGATGATTTGCTAATTCTTATGAGACAATTGAAAGCGATTTAACACTTTCAGATTTGATAGGAGGGATGGGTTTTAAGTTAAATATAGCGAAATTGTTTTTCCTTTCTTAACACTTCTATTGATTATTTAGGACACAAAATGAATGGACGTGGAAGTAGGACAGGATCGAGAAAGTTGAAAGCTAAACTTTGTTACAACTTATGTACAGCAGTGTCAACTGACACACACGGTACAACAATTTGTTAGATTGGCTAGCTATTTTCGCAAGTTTATTACAAACTTTGCAACAAGAATGGCGTTGGGGCGAAAATGAGCAATCGGCATTTGAAAAGCCAAAGGAGTCATTGATAGAGCGACCAATATTAGGTATGTATCGGAGTGAATTAGGTACGTATTGAACTGCACACCGACGTTAGTAAGCTCCGATTAGATGATAGGTATATTGGTTCAGAAGCATTTACAGGCAAATTGCAGGTTATTTCCACGATCGATAACAGGAGGCGGAAACTTATGTAATCAATCGCTTAGGAGTAGGTACAGTAAAAGCTCTTTATTCGCGGGGTATAGGTACGTTCCATAAATATGCCGCGAATACAGAACCCGTGGATATGGAATGATAATTAGTATGGAATCATAGGGGATACGTTCTAAGGTTCCAAAATAAAACCAATATGTATCAGAATAAAATCAATTTATTGAGAAATTCGCAATTAAAATTAATCGTTATAATCAGCTTTAGGCAAGAGTTTAAAAAATTTAGTCATTTTTCTTGTTTTGAATTTTGATTTGCCGCCTCGGCACGTACCAACAGTACATACTCAAAAGATGCCGATACATTAAGGGGATTCAGTAGTACACGCGCCGTAGAGTAAAAACATGCTTATCGGTTTTAGATATCATGAGTTTAATGTTTGGAACAGAGGTTTGAAATTTTGTAGTAAAATAGATAAAGCTTTGTTCTAAAGCCTGTTGAAGGCCATTTGTTATGTTTTCATTTTTTATTGAAAATACGTATCCTACAAGAAGCATCAACTTTAAGCACTTGTAAAAGTTTTTACTGACCGTATTATTGAAAACCAAAAACGTACCGAGTTAATGTGAACCTTTGTCTGTTACCATACAAAAAATCACGTATTTATCTCGCAGCGTTAAATCACAATGTTGAGAATAGGAACCCATGTTTTCGGAAAAATTCATACTAGGTACGAGCGGTCTATTGCGGTCAATCCCCTTAATAAATGACACCGAATCCTTTTCTATTTGCCGATTTCATCCGCGAATAGTGAAATTTGTAGAAGCGAATACAAGGAACTGGATAATGAAAACGCGAATAAGGAAAAACCGTGAATAAGGAACTTGTACTGTAGGTACTAATTTTGAATTATCGAAAACAGACGTTCAGATTTTGATTTGGTGTTGGGGTTATAGGAGTACCTATTCGGATTATAAGGGATGGGGATTATCTATAGATATTACAATATTTCGCGATTCATACACTTATGAGTTATACAAGTTACAGAGAACTATCTGACAATAATCACAAATTTTACTTAAGACGTTATTTTATGTAAGACCATTTAAGACCAAATTTGTAGATAGTTAACCTTATCTCAATCTCCAGGATGGTCTAATATAAGTCGGTTACTTCTGAGTCTAAAAGACATTCAAATATGGATCATGGTGTTGCCAGGAATAAACCTGACGCTAACATCGCGAAACCAATTAGCTCATTCATGAGATGATTAAGTACTATTACGTACATTTAATTTTATTATTGATTTCCTAGCCATTTAGTCACTTCATACGTATGTCTAATGGCAAAACAGGGCATGAATCGTAAAAGTATTTTATGAAAACAGTCATAAATGTTTTAGGACTCGAAACCCATCTGAACGTAAAATTTTAGGTCACTGTCAAATGGCCCCTTTGTGAATTGAATTTTACAACTTTCACTAATCACGGACTGTCTCACCATGAAAGTTCTAGAACTAAATGGCATATAAACCTAAAATTCTGTTTTTGCTTCTACGTACTTGTTAAAAAAACTATGTAAATGCATAAAAAAGAAAGAAGTGATTATAATTTTGTATTTAGATAGCAGAAACAAAGGGGTGCCTGTTTTCACATTAGCATNACACGAAGCATCAACTTTAAGCACTTGTAAAAGTTTTTTTAATGACCATATTATTGAAAACCAAAAACGTACCGAGTTTGTGTGAACCATTGTCTGTTACCATACAAAAAATCAGATATTTATCTCGCAGCGTTAAATCACGATGTTTAGAATAGAAACCCATGTTTTCGGGAAAATTCACACTAGGCACGAGCGGTCTATTGCAGTCAATTCCCTTAATAAATGACACCGAAACCTTTTCTGTTTACCGATTGCATCCGCGAATAATGAAATTTTAGCCGCGAATACAGGAACTGGGTTGCAATTTTTTCATCCGCGAAAAATGAAAACGCGAATAAGGAAACCGTGAATAAGTACCTTTTACTGTATTTACAACTCGTTCTGTAACGCCACTGGAATTATAATACGCGAAAGATAGATACTTCATGGGCGACAATAAGCTGTCAAGGTGTGTGAAGTGTGATACATGAGAATAGGCAGAGAAAAAAAAAAATATACTTTTAACTCGAAAACGAAGTTTTTAATTTTTTCAACCGCGTTTCAAGCAATATAAATAATCTAAAAAAAATCAGGAGTCTAGTCTGGCACAGAATTTCGTTTTTTATTTTTTCGAAACAACGTTCTCTTTATTAATTTTTCAAGTTTTCTAACGCTTCTAGTTCTTCGATACCCTNAAGTTTTTAATTTTTTCAACCGCGTTTCAAGCAATATAAATAATCTAAAAAAAATCAGGAGTCTAGTCTGGCACAGAATTTCGTTTTTTATTTTTTCGAAACAACGTTCTCTTTATTAATTTTTCAAGTTTTCTAACGCTTCTAGTTCTTCGATACCCTTTAGTAGGGTTTCGAAAACTTTTAATTCGTCCCCCCACCCCTAAACGCCTCACATAATTAATGAACAACCCCAAAATTGACTAAGATATATCCAAAAAACTAAACTTTTTTTGAGATAACGTTTGCATCTTTTGGGCCAAAAATTTACACAGAATCACCATTTTTCATACTGGATGTGGCTGTATTTTTTTTTATTTTGATTCCATTGGGGGCAATTTTCACTATCTTATCCGGCTAGGCCCATTCTTGTTTTTATGTTTATCATTTGGTTTTTTGTTTTGGCAAAGTGGCGCCCGAGTTGTACTTATTTTATACGTAACGTAAATTTCAAAATAACCAGAAATAAATTACGTTAATGCACGAAATGTGCATTTATAACTACCGATCTAATGAAGATTTTTTAAAATTGACGCATCCCGATTCCTCCACAAGCATCATACTTTATATTTAGGTCACTATCCTATTTGTAATAAATAAATAAATACTTAAGCGTTGGCAATAAAAACTATAGATTAATTACAATATATTGCAACTAAAATAATGATTTTAATTCAGTACCTTGATTGAGCAATTTATGCCATTTCAAGTATACATAAACTGTACATCTACAACACAAAAAATGGTTTTATAAGCATGTATTGTATATAATAATATGTACCCTCTAACTAGGCATAAATTTTAAGATATTCAAATCAAACAACAATATTTAATTAATGAAATTAATTTAATCCTGTGATTCTGACCTTGACCCACTTTTAGACCTCGAACCACTTCTAGATCTGGACTTGGACTTTGATCTACTTTTTGATCTCGATCTGCTGGTAGACCGAGACTTTGAATGACTTTTGGATCGCGATGGACTGTGCGATTTAGATCGACTTTTTGATCTTGAATGGGATCTAGAGCCACTTCTTGATCTTGATCCACTTATGGACCTTGAACGCGATCTAGATTTATCTTTAGATTTAGATCTCGATCTGCTATGCGATTTAGATCGACTTTTTGATCTTGAATGAGATTTAGAGCCACTTCTTGATCTTGATCCACTTATAGACCTCGATCGCGATCTAGATTTACTTTTAGATTTGGATCGCGATCTGGACCTACTTTTAGATTTTGATCTTGATCTAGATCTGCTTTTAGATGCTGATCTAGATCTTGATCGTGATCTACTTTTAGATACCGATTTGGAACTGGATCTAGATCTTGAGCCACTTTTAGACCTACAAAAAGAAGACATTAAATTAAATACGAGTATAAGCAAAAATATAATTATTCTTGTATACGTATATTAATGTAATAACCTTAACATACCAGGTACCTGGCGGTAAACCGGGTACCCGGTCCACCACTAATTAAAGTACAGATGCACCAAAAGCATTGGATAACTGAATTGTTCGAGTTATGGAGAAGACCGAGTTATAAGAGGTTAGATTTATTGCGAAGTCCGATTGCGTACGAACAAACACGATAGTGATATTCCATATAGACGAGGAGAAGGTTCATTATGCTAGCGGTTAATTTTAATAATTTTTATACATTTTCGATCACTAAATACGAATGTAAAGTTTAAGTTAATTATAAAATATATTAATTAGTAAGTAATGTAGCTATTCATATTTCTGAATAAATAATTCAAAACTGGGGCGCTTTCAGACAGCTGAGCTACAGTATGGAATGGAAGTGGATGTGTATCGATATTTCAACTTTTCAATTCTTTTTCTTTTTTGTTTATAAGAGATCCGTAAATCCGAAAATATTTATAAAGAAATACAGTTGAAACGTTCATTTTTCAAATATTCGGTAAATAAAACAGATATTTTCTTCCAAACCGGTTAAAGATTATAGCCATAATTTCAAAAGAAAATAAAAGTTTAAAGATGCAGCATGTTGCCGTAACATAAAACAAAAATAAACGTTATACATTCGTATTCAGCGTACGAAAATACATAAAAACCATTAAAATTAGCCACTAGGTCGGTATTTTCATTTTCTAAGCTACTTTTCGGTAACGTCCCACTTGCCTAACATACGATACAAAAAATATTTTAAGAACAGAATAATTAATCTTAAATTACCTTGATCTTGAACGTGATCGGCTTGACTCTGATGATATTCTACGTTTCCTTCCTTTAGGCCCGGCTTCTCTACCACTTCCACTTTCGTCACCACTTGCAATTTTAAGTTTTTCTTCGTCACTATCAGACTCACTCGTTGAAATAGTTGCTTTCGATACGATTCTAGATCTCTGTTTGGAACTGAGACCATCATCATGACTTTTCTTCTTGGGTTCTTTAACTTTCTTGCGGCCTTTCTTGGCTCTTGGTCTATCAGAATCAGACCCGGAATCGCGCGCAAAACGTTCTTTCCTTTTTCTTCCTCCCACACCACCTTTACGTTTGGGTTCCCTTCGTTCCTTTCGATCGCCACTTCTATGTCGTTTTTTCTTCGTTTCACGGGGTGCTGCGTTCTCCACATCGGTACTTGAATCGCTGACGTACTGTTCTTTGCGACCTTTACCTTTGCTCTTGGGGTTTCTTTCGGAAGGTAACTCGTTGAATAATAACGCATTTTTGGTCTTTTCTTTGTACTCTTGACGTTTCTGTAGAAGTTGTTCCTTATTTGCGCGTCGTTCTTCTTCCATTTTTTTCTGTTCTTCCAGTTGTCGCATTTTAAACGCGTTTCTTTCTTCTTCCTGTTTCCTACGAAGGTGTCGTTCTTCTTCATCTACTCTTCTCGCTCTGGCCACATGATATTGCGCCTGTGAGAGAAGATCTTGACACTGCTGAGCTTCCATTCCTGCCAAAGTCACATCATAACGCATACGGTCACCATGCTCTGATAGGTATGTGAAATATCTAAAATTAAAATGTATTTTGTACTTATCAAAATCACAATTTATTTTAGCATACTTCAAGGAAAGTCCCAGTTCGTGAACGGCTTGTAATACTACAGTAAGAGTGGACTTTTCGTCTTTAAGAATATGTGTGGCTAATCGTTGTAAAACGAGAGCGATATTAAAAAGGATGACCGTGTCTTGAGGGGCAACACGTCTCGCCTTCAACAATACCATCTTTGCTTCTTTAAGTTTGCCAGCTTTAAAATAAGCTCGAGATAAATATTGCAAAACTTCTACGTTGTGATACTTAAAGAATTTCTTTAAACAGTTTTCATACTGGAAAACATTAAATAAATTGAAATTGAAATAAACTAAGTTGAACAATAATTACCATTTGAATAGCTCCAACAAACTGTTTCTGTTCTACGTAGATATGTGCTATGTTTAACCACACATCACAGAAATCTGCTGTCGCTTCTCTGACCTGGGCAAAGATATCTCGGGCTTCATTGACAGCTCCCTTATGTGCTAAAACGGCTCCTATACCATTCGCAGCCCATATATTTTTAGGATCAATTTTCATCACTTGCTTATACATAGACAGAGCTCGTTCCTGGTGTCGTTTTTCTCTCTCCTTATCTTTGGTTGGTTGGTGCAGGGTTTGCAACCATACGTTTCCAAGAGCAATAAGAGCATACGAATCTTGGGATGTTGCAGGATTCTAAAATCGTCAGATAAGTACTTATGTGCTTTATCTAAAAATATTTCTTCTTTCTCCTTACCTTTAAAACCCTTTCATATTTCTTTTGACCAGGTCCCCATTCATTCTTTGCTAAATGAAGATTTCCTAATAATGACCAAGCATCTGGATGCTCCGTATTGATTTTCAGTGCTTCCTTAAACCAATCAGATGCCTCGTAAATCTGCCCTTTATCTCTTGCCATGCAGCCAAGCCTTAAGTAACAATCAACATAATTGGGATGTTCTTTGAGAATGTCTTTGTATAATTTTTCAGCTTTGTCAAAAACACATAAAGCTTCAAATAATCGCGCAAGATTATAAGTGATAGTGACTGCAATGGAATTATAGTACTGCGGGTCATGTTCTGCCTCAGATTTAGTCCTTACTAAAGCCTCCTCTAAATACTTTTTCGATTCTTCTAAATTATTTAGCCTAGACAAAGAAACAAAAAATAATACAGTAAGTTTATACATATGCATATATGTACATATATACTTGCAATTTACCTATAATGAAGAGCCCCAACATTATTCAAAATTTCTGTTGGGATTTCAGCTTGTACGTCTTTCTTGAGAATTTTAATTGCTGTCCCATAAGCATTCAGGGAGCCCTGCAAATCTGATTGCTCTAAAATTTGTGCTAATTCGATCCAGGCTTCAATATCATCTGGAAATTGCTCCGTCACCTTCTTCAAATGATTCTTTGCAATATCCCTCTTAGATTGTGAGGACGAATTTGCGTACAAAGAGCCGAGAATTTTCATTGTTTCATAATTTCCTGGTTGAGCTTTTAAAACCTTTTCAAAACACTGGGCAGCCTAATGAATAAGATATAATTTTCAGTTGTAATTACAATTGTATAATTTTATTCTATAAATTCGTAAATACCAACCACTTTTTTGATTTTTTTTATTTTTTAAATTTTATGTTAGTTAGTAGTTACCAGACTGTGTACGGATCTTGTCTACTGCGGTGCATATATAGGGTGTTTCTGAATTAAATCAAGCTTTGAAGGGTGTTAAGTAGAAGCAATAGGAAATATAATGCTGAGAAAAGTAGCGTAATTAAAGAACAAATAAATTTGTAAGAAAACCAGACGAAGTTGCAATCTGAAGCCGGCCCTGAGCGTGAATTGGTAGCGTATAGAGAAATTGCGATAACCAAGCAAGTACATCGATGAAAAGTGTAAACAGTGACGGAAACGGAAAGACTAATATAATAAATATCAAAAGCTTAGTACTACAATACTATACATAATAATCTTTAGACGCCCATTGCAATAACAATTAATTAAATAACTATTTTGTTTATCGCTGATAGTATACAGTACTATTTAATGTACACCTCGACATGGTATTCAGAACACAAGAGAAAGAAAAAATGAACGTTATGTAAACTCAGAATAGGTAACAGTAATTTTTGTTACATCTCCTCAGAAAGATCGATTTTCCTATCCTCTGTACATAAACGAAAGTTTATGACCATGTGGGCGATATTAAACATGCGTTTTAACAGAATTTATTGCGATAACCTAAGCAGTGTTGTCAGACGTAACATAATTTTGAAGCTTACCAAAAATCATAATTTTAAATTATAGCATAATAGATAATAACTGTTTTCATCTAAAAAGAAATATGTAAATTTTGGAGTATTTTAAAAACATCGCCCGGACAGGAATAATCTAGAATAACGTAGAATTCCCCTATGGAGCCTTCGCCTCGGATGACAATTAACACATGGTCTGTAATAGCTCACTTCCTTCCCTTGGTACGTAACATACTATTTATTAAATTTCCAAACCATGAAACTATTGTCAAGGTGCGTTGCCTTTTTTATGAATAGTTCGCCAATAGCCCTATCCTTCCATTAGAAAAAAATAATTGCAACACCAGTAAACACACACACATACTTACGTACACTACAAAAATTAAAAAAACACGCTTATACAAATCATTAGCATTTCTACCGATTGATACACGCGCTGTTTTATAAAACCCCATACTAAAAAGTGAAACGGATTTAGATCAGGACTACATGCCAATTATGGTACATCACCTGTATGTCTAATACAGCCTCTAGAAAAATGTTTGTCTAGAATAATACTATTCTGAGCTAGCCTATGACCTACTTCTAATGACTTCGACTGTCTACATACATACACGCCTACAACGTTAAAAGAACAAGCAACTACTCGGGGATGGCTGTAAAGATAAACATAGCCAATCACATTTAATCCAATCTAACAAATAACAAACAATACATGAGTATAAAAATACAAAATTAAACACAGGACGGATACTGCTAAGCAGCATCTGATTGAATGAGGCATTGCAATGTCGTATTTCCCTGCGTGATCTTACCAGGGCCAAACTGACTTTTGCCTGTACTTTCAAAAATGTTTTGACTACCTAACATTAACTAAATTTTATTGTATTATAGTGCCCTATCACCTCCTGCAAACTTGCTACTTATTGCAGAAATACTCTATATGCATATACATATACAGGATTTTTCACGTAACCCGTTCATTAAGAGTTTTTAAACTAGCTGACGCTCTTTCTAATTAAAATATTTGCAATTTCCGGTTATACCGGAAGTCAACATCAACTAGCTTATTTTAAATAGAATGCTATATTTTTTATGACATTTTTACACTCAGCGAACATTTTGAAATCGACATTAACAATACAACTTCATATAAAAATTAATAGTTTTCGAGATATTTCGATTTTTCTGAAAATTTTGAAAATTGCATTCCCATGCTAAATAACGACTTTTTTAGCTAATTTTGAAACTGACGTCGTCATATTGGGTGATCAGCTATCTCGTACCTATCTCTACCCGGCATTGTGCCCTTAGTATCGTAAATGTTGTAGATGTTAAAAACGTGACGTCCAACTTATAAATCTCAGAACACGCTTAAGTTGTTTTTTTTTTAATGGAACACCCCGTATATTATCTCATCAATGAACGTAGTGAACTTTCTTATCCAAAACTATATGGACGGATGAGTCTAAATTTACGAGGGAGGGGATTGTAAATCGAACATTTTAATGTGTTTGCTCTAATGCTGCATAATAGAGTAATATTTGAAATTTACGATCGAACTTTAAATTCGAAGAGGCATGTAGGAATACTAAGACGAGTTATGTCTGCGTTTTTGCTAGTATACATATAATGGACAGGGCAGGTGCACACAATACTAATGATGTAACTGTTGAACTAACCAACATGTTCCAAGATCGTTGGATTGGGAGTAACGTCTCTTGGAAATGCCCCCCTAGGTCATCCGACTTAAACCCCCTCTACTTCTATTTATGGGGTCATGTAAAAAGTTTGGTGTATGATCGCCCAGTTGATACCCTTCTAGAACTAGAAGCAAGGATAAGAAGAACTTTCAGAGTTAGACCCAATTCAAGTAAGAAGGGCCACAACCGACGCAGTGCATCAAAGGATAATAGAGTGCTTAAACAGGACATTTTGAACATTTATAGTTTATCGCTTTTATTTAGTTGTGTGCTTTTATATTCTCATTGCATTTTTAATATACATGTGTTTGTACATTTCTATTCGCCTGAATTTTGTTTTGCTCATCGGAGGCAGATTCGAATACCTTTGGCTGAAAAGGCAACTAATCCACTCTACAACATTCTGACACTGTCCATTAGTGTAAAATAAATTACAAATATCGTTATTGGTATAATTGTTCTGTCCTTTATTCCTTTATACATTTTAAATCTCAACGCAAAACATTTTACAGTATTTAAAAACATAATAATGTAGGGATTTTTATCAAAAATTTTATAGAAACTTTCCTTGAAAAATTTTAATGAACGGATTACGTAAAAAACCCTGTATGTATATGTTAATTATAAATATTCCATTTCTAGATTAAATAAATAAATTCTTACATTTTCCGAGTCTCCTCTATATATGTACATTTGCCCTAGGCCAAAATGGGGCAATACAAAAGCTGCAGGGGCAAACTGTGTCGCCTGATAATAATATTGAAAAGCTTGATCATAATCGCCTTGAACGTGAAAAGCTCGAGCTAGTTGATAACAACTCTCTGATCTCATCGCTTCATTTTCTGTATTGTGAAAAGCATGTAAAGCCAGATGTTGCACTTTGCTATAATCCTAAAAAGAAAAAAATAATAAGTGTAAATGTTTCAAATTATTGCATTAAGTGGTATAGACACATACTTTTTTAAAGAAGAAATGATTAGCTAAATGATTTAAAACCATTGGGTTTGAAGAATCGATGGTATAAGCCTTAGACAACATTTGTACACCATTTCGAATAGATTCAGGTTGTTGTTGATTCAGTTTTAAAATAGCCAAGCCCACTAAAGCTCCAACACACTGAGGATCTAACTGCAATGCCCTTTCAAATGCAAGTCTAGCTTTGTCCTGGTTGTTTAATTTCATGAAGCAGTGACCCATTCCTTAATAAAACACACTAATTATGACAATCCATTACTACTAATAAAAAGGTATTTGATTAATTTTAACATTTCCATCTATAAAAATTAAAATATAAATATGTACCTACATATGAATACATGTATGTTATGCAAAATGTGTAAAAGACCTTATCTTATTAGAATTCAAAATTGTTAACCATATTTTTATAAAATCTAAATAAGTACAGTGGATGAAAAAGAAAGTGAAAAATTTTGAGCTTTTAAGAATTGAAGTTAAAAAAGCGAGTTTAAAATCTCATGTATTAAAAATGTTTTCCAGATGATAAAATTAAACAGTAAATTCACTATTTCTANTTGTTGCAGATTTCATTCATTACAAAAATTTATTAGTACAAAATGTCTGAACATGTTCATCAAAAAAAGAAACCATCTGGGTCAGAATATAGAAAACGGAAAGCAGAAAAAGAGAAGGAATTTCAGAGGACAAAAAAGTTCATGAATATAAATAAATATATCACAACAAAAAATGAAGACCTGAATATGCCATCTACATCTGGAGTACAAATTAATGTATCAGTAGCGGAGCCTCTATCTGACAAGTCAAATCAGAAAGTAATTTCAATAAATTTTTGACCAAGAACTGGTCTGATCTTACAAATTAATTTAATAATTTAATTACCAAGTCTAACTTCAGCAGGACAGTTAGGATTAGTCCTTAGTGCCTTCTTATAAAAAGCTAATGCTCCTCTGAAGTCCTTTTTATTATAAGCGATACATGCTTTACCCAACAAAGATGGTATATTATTCGGTGATTGGTTTAAAACAAAATTAAACTGTGCATCAGCTTGATCCATTTTATCTCCTTCCAATAAGCAAAAATATGCTCTTCCCAATAAATGATTCTAGAGAAGACAATAATAAGAAGGTAATAAAGTAACATTTTTCTAAACAAGAAAGTCTTCAATATTTATACCTGATCATACATAATGATTTTGTCTGCTGTAGTGTATAAAAGGGTTGCCTTTGTAAACAACTCTCGTTTCCGATCTTTATTTTTTTCACGATTAGCTTCCTGTACATAATAAGCAGCCAACATGTCCAATGCACGCATCTGATCTTTTTCAAAGTCTCTGTAGCTGATATTGGCATCTGTACGAGATGCCTCCAAAATTTTAATGAAGTCATTGATTTTTGATTGTTTATAATACTCCAACTAAAAGTGATAACCCGTAGAATGTAATCTATAATTCTGAGCACAAGATGAAACACTTACTGCAAGATTAACCCATATGCTAAGTTGTGCATTTTCCTGTTTCAAGATAACTAGCACTTCTTCGCCGTCAGGAAGTTGATCCAAGTACAGCTCAATTACCTAATATATTGCAAACAAATGTAAAAAACAGTATATCGTTACAAACAAAATGGTGCTTACCTCATCGGTATCCCGAAGAGGGATTTCAATTGAGCCAGACATCTTTATAACTCTATTATGACTAACACATACATCAAAACTTTTTGTTTTCACTTGTGTACACGTTTTCACTTACAACCAAAACTTTCGAAATAATTTAAAAATTAATTTCTTCAATAATTTACAGTGGTTAAACGATAATTACAACAACTAACATAACCTTAAACGTATAGTAGTGTTTATGTCTCCTGCACGATCCATGTCTAATTTCTTTAAAAAAACTTTGCCTGTACGGGCCAACGACCATAGAATGATCTGATCGCGTTTATTATTTTTAAACCTACACAAAAATTTAAAAAAAGGGAATAAAATAAAATGCTACGTACTTAGGTCCACACTTCTATGAACAAAACAAAGGGCATAACTAAGGTAAAATCCATTTAGTTCGTGTTGTATTCATTCCATAACCATATTAATTTAATTTTGCCAATTATATTTGAATTTAATCTGACCGATCTTTTAAAACACAGTCAACCTGTATAGGAGACACTCCCCTTACTTATTATTACGGTGGCATTGTTATCATCTCTACTTTTCTGGAACCATAGATTGATGAAATATATACTGTTTGTAACTAATCATCAATATCGGAAAGCAGAGATGCAGTCAAAACGAATTTTGCCGATAATACTCAACTAACAACAATTGCAAAGATACGAAACTACACTAACGCACTTAATCTATGCACATAATTATTAGGGGGACTTTGTAAAAATATTTTTCCCTAATCATTAGTGATGTGAAAAATTTCAAATAGATATTTTTTATTCTTTATATCACTGAAAAGGTAGTCGTAGGTGTACACTAGCAAAATAAAACAAATTATCAGATTCGGACAATCTTTTCCGATCGCTAAAACGTCTAAATATTTGCAGGAATTGCAATTGATTATTTTTTTGGATAGATAATTTTTCAATATATATTATAATCTAAATAATCCAAAACTCACTACGAGGAGATGGCTAGACCTCGAGTTTTACCCTCAAATTCACACCAATCCCTTAATACAACCATTAAGAGTATGTACTACTTACAATATTTACAATTTACACCCTGTAATGGTTTGTGCATATATTTACTATTGTACTATAAGGGTTGGGGAAAGTGCATTCGGAAGTCTCGAACGATACCGGTATTGGTGAAATGTGGAACGGATTAATTCACTGGAAGGAATGAACAGGACGATCAATCGGTGGAAGAAGATTAGAGGAGAAGAAGGGCCGGTGAAAATTAATATCAAGTGAATTTTGGGGAACAACAAAGTGCGTTTCTAACACATATCAAATACACAGTAGTGGTGTTAGGGTAGGGCGCGGTTGGGCGATCGCCCAGGGCGCCGGACAAAAGGGGCGCCGCAGGCGCCCTCCACCTCATTCTCAAAATTAAGCGGACGGAAGCCCTAAATTAAGTGGATTTTTTTTATGTTGGCAACACTTGAACGGAACGTAATCCGTTCGATCGGAGTTTATTTTACAGGGAATCCCCAATCAAAGAAAAACACATTGTCTATCTCTTTTTATAAATGTTTGTACTTAAAGATTTAATTTGTTGCAGATTTCATTCATTACAAAAATTTATTAGTACAAAATGTCTGAACATGTTCATCAAAAAAAGAAACCATCTGGGTCAGAATATAGAAAACGGAAAGCAGAAAAAGAGAAGGAATTTCAGAGGACAAAAAAGTTCATGAATATAAATAAATATATCACAACAAAAAATGAAGACCTGAATATGCCATCTACATCTGGAGTACAAATTAATGTATCAGTAGCGGAGCCTCTATCTGACAAGTCAAATCAGATAACTGAAGATTGTGTTGCAGAGATTGTGGACAATGTTTCCCAAAGTGAGATAAGAAGCTGTGGTACAATTACAAATGCTGCTCAAGATCATTTCATTGGTGATGTACAACAAATACAAATTCTAGAAGACGTAAGTACTGTGTCCCGAATATATCGGATCCTGCCACTTGGCCAGCCACTCGAAATAGTAAAATCATTGATCATATAATTACTAGTGGCCCAGTGCAAGCTCACATTGATAATTATCCGAAAAGTGATACAGGCCGACATTTCTCTAATTCGCATTTCACAAAAAAACTTGCAAACAATGAAACAATTCAGCGCCGTTGGTTAATTTACTCCGTTTCTAAAGATCGAGTTTATTGTTTTTGTTGTCGACTATTTGATAGTAGCTCAACGTCGAACTTAGTATCTGAAGGGTATAACAACTGGAAACACTTGTCTGAAATGTTAAAAATTCATGAAAATAGCACTTTTCATAAAAAGTGTTACCTTTCATGGATTGAAGCTGAACTACGATTAAAAATAGGAAAAACAATAGACTGCCAAGAACAACACTTGATTAGAAAGGAAACTACAAGATGGAATAATGTTTTGTCTAGATTGATGCATATCACACTTTATTTAGCCGAAAACAATATGGCATTCAGAGGTACTTCCGACAAACTATATACGCCAAATAACGGAAAGTTCCTAGGCTTAGTACAACTACTAGCCAAATTTGATCTAGTCATGCAGGAGCACTTGCGATTAGCTATGAAAGGTGATGTCTCAGACCACTACTGTGGAAAAGACATTCAAAATGAATTAATAGAGCTGATGGGTGAAAAAGTGAAGTCAGAAATCATATCACGTGCAAAAAAATCAAAATATTGTTCAATTATAGCTGACTGTACTTTGATATCAACACACAACATACAGCGTAGTTTATTCCCGGAACTTCAACCAACGTAAAGCTCTGCTATGTGACGTCACCAAAGTACCGACAAGAACTCCCATATTCCACCGACCCACGGCAAGGGAGAAGGAGTTCCACCACCAGTCACCTCAGTTTTTTACTTCGCCCAGCCGTTAACCACCGACTGCCAGTTAGAGTAAGTGTTGTTTCTCAGTGTTTTTTTTTTGGTCCTGCTCAGACTCATTTTGTGTGTATATATTATCTCCGTTTGTTTTGTATATATTTTGTTACGACTCCTTTTGTGTGTATATATTATCTTCGTTTGTTTTGTATATATTTTGTTACTTGTCGTTTCCGCATATTTGTATTCTAGTTGTAGGTTATTATATAGTTAGGTTTAAGGTGTAAATAAAGTGTTTGAAGAAATCAAAGACATATCAACTTCAGACATTAGTCATGTAGAACAACTTTCGCTGACATTACGATTTGTTGATTTATCAGATGATAATGAAAAAATATCAGTAAAAGAGCATTTCTTGGAATTTATACCTGTCAATGAGTCAACTGGTGAAAGACTGACTGAAGTTATTATTAATGTTTTGAATAAATACGGATTGGAATTGAACGATTGTAGGGGTCAGGGTTATGACAACGGGGCGAATATGAAAGGAAAAAATATTGGGGTTCAAAGGAGAATTCTCGACATAAACCCCTTAGCTGTTTATATACCGTGTGGATGTCATAGCTACAATCTAGTACTATGCGATGCCGCTAAGTCATCCGTTGTATCAGTCACTTTGTTTGGGGTACTTCAGAGGTTGTTCACATTGTTTTCAGATTCTGTTCATCGATGGAAAATTCTAACCGATCACTTGGGACTATATACTATAAAAAAGCTCAGTGACACACGTTGGGAAGCAAGAATAAGCAGTGTTAAAGCAGTCCGTTATCAAATTAGTGCTATCCATGATGCTTTAATTACTTTGGCTATTGAAACTCAGAAAACCGATGTTCAAGTATCTCATGAGGCTACTACTCTAGTCGAACAGCTAAAAGATTTCAGCTTTATAGTTTCATTGGTTGTTTGGTATGACATACTTTTTCAAATAAATATTGTAAGTAAATCTCTACAGTCAACAGACATGGATCTTGGTAAATGTACAGAAATGCTGAAAAAATGCTGCCATTTCTTGGAAGACTACAGAAATACAGGCTTCAAAAGCGCTATATTAACTGCAAAGGAGTTGACCGCAGAGCTAGAAATTGAACCTGTCTTTCAAGCTAGAAGAAGAATTCGACATGTGAAACGTCAAGTTGGTGAAATTGCACGTGATGACCCTATAACTTCTCCAGAAAAAAAATTTGAGGTTGAATTTTTCAACTGTCTTTTAGACACAACAATAAATTCAGTCAATGAAAGGTTCGAACAGTTAAATGAGTACTCGAAATCTTGGTCTTTTTTATACAATATTAAACAAATTCCAGAAAAACCCGACCTCGTCAAGCTCTGTAGTGATCTCCAATTAAAATTAACTGTAGACTCTAGATCAGACATAGATGGTTGTATGTTGTGTGATGAACTAGTAAGTCTGATATCCTTTTTGCCCGATCAAAATGTGGTTACACCTATTTTTGTTTTAAATTTCATCAAAGATCGCTACTTACAAGAACTGTATCCAAATGTATGGATAGCATTGCGAATATTACTGACTATACCTGTAACGGTTGCTAGCGGGGAGCGGAGTTTTTCAAAGCTGAAGCTGATAAAAACCTATCTTCGATCAACAATATCTCAATCTAGATTGACAAACTTAGCAACTTTGTCAATTGAAAACGAAATTGCTGAAAACATAGACTTTGATAACCTTATAAAAGAGTTTGCTGATAGAAAGGCCAGAAAAGTAAAATTTTATTAGTTTGTTTCTAATAAATGGTTATTTTTTATAATAAATAATTATTTGTTTTAATAAATGGTTATTTCATTATATGCTTTCCCTTTTTTCCTATGGGTTTGAATTGTAGTTGGAGGGCGCCGTAGAAATCTCGCCCAGGGCGCTGGTAGTGGTAAAACCGGCACTGCATTGTACCTCTCAAATTATAAATAAACAATTGTGTTCAGATCAAACATTTGTGTTATTCAATATCAGTGTTAACCCACAAATACAAAACCAGGCATGTTATTGAGAGTCTAGAAGATATAATTAAAACGTTTGGTGTTCCTCGACGTATAATCACGGATCAGGGGCGATTCTTTACTTCACAAAAGTTTCAATGTTTCGTAAAAGACAAAGATATGACTCATCATCTTAATGCTGTCGGGTTGCCAAGAGGGAACGGACAAGTTAAGCGCTACAACAGAACCATTCTTACGTCCCTGGCAACCCTGGGTGCTAATTTAGACGACGACCTCTGGGACAGCAATATCAGCAACATTCTATTGGGTCTAAACGGAACCTATAATAAAGCCATATGAACAAGTCCCAGCGAAGCTCTTATCAGAAAACATCCCTGTTGACGTAAGCGATAAAAGGAGAAAAATTACGTCCAGAGTGGAATTTCTACAGGAAGAGCAGAAGGAACGTTTCGACTCGGTACGCTGTCCCCCATCAAAGTATCAATTAGGCGATTTAGTTATGCTCCGCATAACAACAACACCAGTCACTTTACTTCCTAAATGGAAAGGACCGTTCAGGGTATCACAAATTTTGGAAAACGACCGTTATGAGGTCCGAGACATCCAGGGCATGCAACGTTCCGGCAAACCCTATCTCAGGGATAGAGAACATGAAGCCCTGGATTCACTTCATAAATGATGATTAATCGGAAGGTGAGTAGGGACGGATCCGTGTGATGAGTCAGGATTGTACCCGAGTATACTGCAATCGCACTCCATTGTCTCCTGATGACTCACGATGTGACCCCCCCCCTGTAGCACTTGAACCACGTAGTGGTTGGGAGAATCTTACCTGAATTGATCACTCAGGTACTGTATCTGCAACTAGTATTAGCCGGACTGGACGAGCTGATCACTCGGAGTCGCGGGTGGAAAAAAAACAGAAGTAATGAATCATGTCCTATAAAACTGTATCTTTATTAGGAAGGTTTCCGATTCATCCGCCCATAATTAAGTACAATAAGTTAATTATTAATTGCATGAGCAGACCACTAAAATAAACAAATACTTATACAATGATCTGAATTTTAGAATTCAACCCCTTGATGGCAATGTTGATGGTAATCACGCGGGACGCGTGAAAGTCAGGAAGGGCCGTATAAGAACAGCGAGAAGGCATCCCGGTTCGGGCCCCGTTGTTATGCTAAGGCGCGACATCGGGGAACCACGAAAACTATCAACAATTAGCCAGAAAGGGAAAACAAATAGAGAACAGAACGGTTGTGCTAGCGAAGTGGTATGCACGTGAAAAATAATATATAATATATTGGAGTTATGTTACTAAAAACTGCTCGTATGTGCCGTGTAAGAACAGCGAGAAGGCATCCCGGTTCGGGCCCCGCTGTTATGCTAAGGCGCGACATCGGGGAACCACGAAAACTATCAACAATTAGTCAGAAAGGGAAAACAAATAGAGAACAGAANTAATTTTTCAATATATATTATAATCTAAATAATCCAAAACTCACTACGAGGAGATGGCTAGACCTCGAGTTTTACCCTCAAATTCACACCAATCCCTTAATACAACCATTAAGAGTATGTACTACTTACAATATTTACAATTTACACCCTGTAATGGTTTGTGCATATATTTACTATTGTACTATAAGGGTTGGGGAAAGTGCATTCGGAAGTCTCGAACGATACCGGTATTGGTGAAATGTGGAACGGATTAATTCACTGGAAGGAATGAACAGGACGATCAATCGGTGGAAGAAGATTAGAGGAGAAGAAGGGCCGGTGAAAATTAATATCAAGTGAATTTTGGGGAACAACAAAGTGCGTTTCTAACACATATCAAATACACAGTAGTGGTGTTAGGGTAGGGCGCGGTTGGGCGATCGCCCAGGGCGCCGGACAAAAGGGGCGCCGCAGGCGCCCTCCACCTCATTCTCAAAATTAAGCGGACGGAAGCCCTAAATTAAGCGGATTTTTTTTATGTTGGCAACACTTGAACGGAACGTAATCCGTTCGATCGGAGTTTATTTTACAGGGAATCCCCAATCAAAGAAAAACACATTGTCTATCTCTTTTTATAAATGTTTGTACTTAAAGATTTAATTTGTTGCAGATTTCATTCATTACAAAAATTTATTAGTACAAAATGTCTGAACATGTTCATCAAAAAAAGAAACCATCTGGGTCAGAATATAGAAAACGGAAAGCAGAAAAAGAGAAGGAATTTCAGAGGACAAAAAAGTTCATGAATATAAATAAATATATCACAACAAAAAATGAAGACCTGAATATGCCATCTACATCTGGAGTACAAATTAATGTATCAGTAGCGGAGCCTCTATCTGACAAGTCAAATCAGATAACTGAAGATTGTGTTGCAGAGATTGTGGACAATGCTTCCCAAACTGAGATAAGAAGCTGTGGTACAATTACAAATGCTGCTCAAGATGATTTCATTGGTGATGTACAACAAACACAAATTCTAGAAGACGTAAGTACTGTTGTCCCGAATATATCGGATCCTGCGACTTGGCCAGCCACTCGAAATAGTAAAATCATTTATCATATAATTACTAGTGGCCCAGTGCAAGCTCACATTGATAATTATCCGAAAAGTGATACAGGCCGACATTTCTCTAATTCGCATTTCACAAAAAAACTTGCAAACAATGAAACAATTCAGCGCCGTTGGTTAATTTACTCCGTTTCTAAAGATCGAGTTTATTGTTTTTGTTGTCGACTATTTGATAGTAGCTCAACGTCGAACTTAGTATCTGAAGGGTATAACAACTGGAAACACTTGTCTGAAATGTTAAAAATTCATGAAAATAGCACTTTTCATAAAAAGTGTTACCTTTCATGGATTGAAGCTGAACTACGATTAAAAATAGGAAAAACAATAGACTGCCAAGAACAACACTTGATTAGAAAGGAAACTACAAGATGGAATAATGTTTTGTCTAGATTGATGCATATCACACTTTATTTAGCCGAAAACAATATGGCATTCAAAGGTACTTCCGACAAACTATATACGCCAAATAACGGAAAGTTCCTAGGCTTAGTACAACTACTAGCCAAATTTGATCTAGTCATGCAGGAGCACTTGCGATTAGCTATGAAAGGTGATGTCTCAGACCACTACTGTGGAAAAGACATTCAAAATGAATTAATAGAGCTGATGGGTGAAAAAGTGAAGTCAGAAATCATATCACGTGCAAAAAAATCAAAATATTGTTCAATTATAGCTGACTGTACTTTGATATCAACACACAACATACAGCGTAGTTTATTCCCGGAACTTCAACCAACGTAAAGCTCTGCTATGTGACGTCACCAAAGTACCGACAAGAACTCCCATATTCCACCGACCCACGGCAAGGGAGAAGGAGTTCCACCACCAGTCACCTCAGTTTTTTACTTCGCCCAGCCGTTAACCACCGACTGCCAGTTAGAGTAAGTGTTGTTTCTCAGTGTTTTTTTTTGGTCCTGCTCAGACTCATTTTGTGTGTATATATTATCTCCGTTTGTTTTGTATATATTTTGTTACGACTCCTTTTGTGTGTATATATTATCTTCGTTTGTTTTGTATATATTTTGTTACTTGTCGTTTCCGCATATTTGTATTCTAGTTGTAGGTTATTATATAGTTAGGTTTAAGGTGTAAATAAAGTGTTTGAAGGAATCAAAGACATATCAAATGGCGCCCAACGTGGGGCAAGAGACAGTCTATTAGTGAAATAGAACGAATCCGCGCATGTGCACTAAACTGAACTAGCCAGTACAAAAAATTTTAACCATGCCAAGGAAGAGTGAGAAGGTAATCAACGACGAGGAGGGAGACATCGCACTTCTTGGAGTGCCTAAACACCAAGTGGCGCCCAATAGCGAACCGAATATCCATTTCAGTGGTCTTCAGCTGGAGACCATTCTACAGCGGGTCTTAACTAACGCTCAAACACCACCACCGGCCCCTTCATTCAGCGGTGACGTGACCGAAGATCCCGAGAG